GTATTTTCTTTGTTTTTTATTGTATATAGTTATTTTTTAATGAAATGGATACATTTTTTTGAATTGAAAAGGTAATTAATTAAAAACAAAAGTTATGATAAAAAAACCTTTGCAAAATTACAAATCCTAAAAAAATGACTTAAGTACTGTAACAAAGTAAATATACTTAGGTAGGTTGAGTCAGACAGTGATGAGTGTTTTAACTCTGGTACCTTGTCTTCAAGTTTGTCCTGTAAAGAAGGCAACAAAGACTGTCCTGTGGATAGCAACATAGTGACAGTTTGAGCATCTTTGATCTCAATCCAGCGCAGCTCCAGTTGTTTTAAGGCCAAGTTCGACAGCTSTGTGTCCTGTACTCCTCTGACTGTGCTCGAGAACACTAGGATGGCCAGGTGCTTTACTGACAGCCTGCGCAATCTCCACAGGACCTCTGAACGCACAGAACTGAACGTTGGGTGGGTGGACGGTACCTTCAGAATCCAAAAAGTCTGTAACACAGTCACCAGGCTGGAGTTGACCACTAATGATATCTGGAGAAAAAAAAACACAAATACACACATAAGGGAAGAAAAAAGCAACTAGAGAAATTGCCTTTCCTGCGAAAATGCTAGTGTGAACGCTTCTTGTTGAAAACTTAGGCTGAAAGCTTCTGAAATAAGATGAAAACATTTAATAGCAAAAGTCAATTTTTGGTAAATTACGAGTTTGTTTATTGTTTCTGTTTTGTTTGTTGTTGTTTTATGTTTAATGTGAAAGATTTACCAAAAATAAAGTTATTGATTGATTGATCAAGCTTACTTTGAAAAGCTAAAAGCAAAAATAACTAACTTTGCTGAAAAATAGTAAAAAGGAGCACAAATCTAGTCGAAAACAGAAAACAGCTAAAAGCTAAAATAGCTGAATATAGCTGAGAACATCTGTAAGAAGCATAACCAGCACAAATGAGCAGAAAAAACAGAAAGTTTAAAACATCAGAAGAATAGCAGAAAGAAGCTGATCTAAAGCGGAAAAAGAATAAAAAAAAGCTCAAATTACCATAAAAATAAGCTAAAGGTAGCAGCCACAAGTTGTAATTAACACCCACATAGTGAAGGTTGTATAAAAAATAAAATAGCAGAAGTAAATGCATAAAAGTTAAAAAAAATGTTAATTTGTAGGAAAATAGCCAAAACAGCTAAAATTTTCAGTAAAACAGCTAAAATGTAGCTGGAAATTCTTTAATTAGCATAAGGAAGCATAAGGAGCATGTTTGCTGAATTTAGCAGAATTAAGTTGTAATAGCTACAAAAACTGTGTATTTAGCTTAAAATAGCTAACTTTAGCTAAAAGCAGCTGAACTTTAGCTAAAATTGCAGAAAATAGCTGAATATGGAAAAGAGCATTTGTAAGAAGCATAAACAGCACATAGTCGAAGAAAAAAGTACAAAAAGGTAGAAGAATAGCAGAAAGAAGCAGAATTTTAGCTAAAAGAGCAGAAAAACGCTACAATTAGCAAAAAGTAGCTAAAATTAGTACAAAAAAGTAGGGCTGCAACTAACAATTATTTTAATAATCGATTTTTATCAATTTTATCGATTCATTGTTGCAGCCCTACAAGAAAGTGAAAAAGAGCAGAACCAGAACAAAATGTGTAAGATGCTGTAAAGATTTAGAAACATCTTGAAGGGTTTTAAGGATGTTGAAAACAGCTTCATTCATTTTCAATGGGAAAAAAGTGGCAGAAAAAGTGAAATAGCCGAAAAAAGTATAAATAGCTGAAATACCAACAGTCATAGCACCCTTGGCATGAATGAGCTTAATGTTTTAATATATGAACTGTTGAAATAGCACAAAAATTGTTACGAGTTTGATGCCGAAAAACATACGGAAGAAAAAATTATCTCAATAGTGTGAATGTTGTGAAGCGTCACACAATAACTTCATAAAATCTAGAATATGTATTGCATAAATTGTGTATTTGTAATAAAGCTTCCTTACTTTTTGAGTTAAGGTTTTCATSATATTCTTGAGCCTTGAATCTGACAGCAGCTCTGGGTCGTACTTGGTAAATTTCCCCCTCGTTTTTACCATCAAATAGGTCCACTTTGTTAAAGTCCAAGCGGCATCATTAGGTCGTTTTCCATGCTTTTCCCACGCAGACAGGATTTCCTCTGGTGCCTGTGCCTTTTCCACCAGCTCTTCCAGTGGACATTTTGGCGCTACACGTGGATATGAAATCTTACAGAGTGCTGTACTGTTGCACATTAATCTCTCTGTGATCCGCGACCAGCCTTTAGGCCTGGACACGGCTGCTGGTCCGACCACGGGAAGAAGCAGGCGAACGGCAGCGGTTGCTGGAGCCTGAGAGGAAGACCTGCAGAGCAGGTGGGTAAATCTGCATAACAGGCGGTTGGCCATCGGACCTGAAAGACAGCAGACTCAGGCGGGAAAAGAGCAAGAAAGGAAGTTTCTCACGGTTCAGAAACCTTCATCACCACCCCACACACCGAACCTGTGAAGGAGAGAGATCTGCATTAGATGATGTTACAGGGAAACACTGACAAGCTGTTGTAACGTCATCATCAAGAGGACTGTGACATCACCTTAAACCGCCTTGACTCTCAAAGTTAATGAGGCGTAGATTTACAACTAATATGTGACCCATCATGTCGAAATGAGCGTCAAAAATTTGKGATTTGCGCAAAAAATCAGTATTAATCACACGGGTGGAGTGAAGGTGCGCTGACCGCAGCTGCGCGGGGTGGTGGGGAGGAGGGGGGTCTTTTAAAGACATGTCTACATTTGACTTTCACTTTTTCTAAAATCACAGAGTTCTCTGAGTCAGCTTCAGGTGTTTGTAGTTAATCATAATACCTTCTGAATTTAACCAGGTGTTTCAATGTCTTTAAATTAAACAATAATTTTACTGGAGAAACTTGTCAGTTTGATTAAAAAACAGTAAAAATGTATTTTTTTTCTGTGCAGAGAACTTCCTCTGCTATAACCTCTGCTATAA